GATTTTTCTTTCCAAGTTGTAACATTTATTTATTTTTGTTGAATTGTAGTTATGTGGCCAGCTCAGTTTTTCTCCAGTACTGCATATACTAAATGTGTTTGCACAAGTTGCATAGGATCAGATTTTCTTTAAAGGAGAAAAATCTCTCTGATAAGTAGTGAGGAAAAAGGAACATATCTGTCCTATAGATATACTTGTATTCTTTTAGCTTGCAGTTCTTTAATGGGAGAAACTACATCTAAGACAGTTTTAACACTTTCTAACAACCTGTTTGGGTGTAGAATCTTGATTAACTCTATATTTTTTTTTAATATATATATATGTGACCTTTTGTATTTCATTGACTTCTGTTTATTCTGTGAGTATGGTGGTAATGGTTGGTTTAAAAAATGTAGTTTATCAATAAAAGCAGATGCACTGGGAAGCAGCTAGACTAGCTTTTTAACCATCATTAAATGATTCCTTTTTGGAACAGGAGATCAGCAAAGTCTCGCAGCAGAAGTCCGTATTCCTCGAGGCACTCGAGGTCTCGGAGCAGGCACAGATTGTCGAGGTCCAGAAGTCGTCACTCGAGTATCTCTCCCAGTACATTGACTCTGAAGAGCAGCCTGGCTGCTGAGCTGAACAAAAACAAAAAAGCAAGAGCAGCTGAGGCGGCCAAAGCCAGCGCAAAAGCTTCCAATGCCTCCACGCCCACGAAGGGAAACACGGAGCCCGCCGCCGGCGCGCCGCAGGTGAACAACGTGAAGGACCTGAAGAAGGCGAAGGCTGAGCAGACGCCCTCGCCCACCGGCAGCGCAGCCGTGAAGAACGAGAAAGCCAAGGCCAAGGTCTCGCTGCCTGAGACAAAAGGGGAGAATAATTTAATTGCAGACAAAATTACCAAGCCGAAGCCTACAGCAGTAAAAGAGCCTAAATTAACAGCAGCAGTCAAACAGCCGCCGGCCCCTGTGAAAGAGAAGAGCAAACCGGCTGCACCCAGCGCCATAGCCAAGGAGAAGGACCGAGCTGTTGCACTACCAACCTCCACGCTGCCCCCCTTGCCTCTGCCTCCCACGCTGCCTGAAGATAAAGAAACGGAGAGGTGAGTCCTCACACAGATTGCTCGTTGGAGCTGGCTGTTCCTTTTTATTACTGTTGTTATCGTCTGTTCCTGTTCTGTGTTGTTGCGATCACGATTGTTTCCTTTGGGGAAGAAATACAAACCCACTCGCCAAGACGAGCTGATGCCTCAGATGGTTCTTGCTCTACATTTGTTTACCGTGGTGCTTACTGGTGAACTGAAGGAATTTGTTAAACTGGTTCTTGAAAAGAGAAGAGTTTAGTCTAGGAGGAATCTTAAAGTCATCTCTTTGGTGTACTTTTTATTGAAAATGGCTGGTATGTGATAGCTTTGGGGCTACTGCAAGGATGTGGTCAAGATTTCAAGTTTGCTGCTAACGTGTACACGCTTCTGGGGAAAAGTTGAATTTGGTAGCAGTATGTGAAAATTATTTCATTAGCTGGGGTTTGAGGTGAAGTCTCTCTTCCCATTGGAGGCAATTGCTTTTATAACTGTGTGTTATTTTATTATAATTTATCTTAGAGATCAGTATTATTTTGAGTATGTATAGTGGAAGTGAGGTTCATGGTTTATCATTTGTGTTAACTTTTGACGTGTAAAATTGGTCTGTAGTGAAGAAGTTCTTGTCTTTATTCCAAGTGTCAGCTGAGTTTGGACTGAAGTCTCTTCATAGTCCTAACAGAGAATACGTGCTGTGGTTTGTACTGGAGGAAGATGCTGTTGAGCTGTAACTTACTGTTTCTTGTTTTGGTGATGAAACTGAGAAAAGATACTTTAGTTTTCATTCATGGTGTGACAAGCCTTTTGTGTGTATACAAGTAATCAACTTCTCACAAAAGTTTCCTAGCATTGAAATAGTAACTAGTTTGTGTGATAAACATTTGTAAAAAATCAAACTGGAGAAGAAAATTTCAAAACCATATGAAGTGCTTAATTTGCAGTCCATATCTCTGAAGCTAGCCCATCTTCTTTGAGAATTGTGTAGTGTTGGATTAGTAAAAGCAGTTATAGCTAGAAGTGTAAGTGTTTCTCTTTTTTGCTAGTAATTTAATGCTAGAGTTAAATGTTAGGATACCTTGGCAAATAAATGCAGCTAAACGAATTATTAGATGTTTCTTCATTTTAGTAGTAAAAGAGAAATCTTGTTTCTTGCCCTTCAGTACTTGCAAATATCACTCCAGTTGTTCAGAATCCCATCTGTGTGGTGAATGTAGGGTTGCATTTAGATGTATGACAAAGCCATCCTCTTTAGGTAAACAGGAGTTCTGACCCTCTTAGTTGAGAGCAAGATTTACTGTTCTAACTAAACCTGGGCTAGTTAGTGTAAATATATGACTGGCATTGCAGTGTTCGTTGAGGCAACATGGAATGATATTTCATCTTGAAGCTGGCTAGTTGCTTCTCATTATTAGTATTTTTTTAATGTAATAGCTGTTTTAAGAATAGTAAACTGCACAGAGCAGTTAAGTTACAGTTAAGTTGCAATTAAGTTACAATTAAGCCATGGTTTTATCAGCACTGGGCTCATTCTTCTTTCAAAAAACCCCAGCCTAATGCTTGCAAACAGCTGCCTTAGAAATATTAAGGAGAAGCAATGAAGCCTTTGCTTAGTTTTGCCTCTAGGATGTTATAAACCTCAGATAGAATGGTTCTGATGATAAGACATAAAGCCTACGATTAGAGAAGAACAATCAATGGTTTTTAGGGGGGAGGAGGGCAAAGGTTGGGCTTGGGTTAACTATGAGGAAATTCTGCTAGCAAACAAAGCTTGATGCTGTGCAGAAATGTCTGATTGCTAATGCTGTGTCACTCCTGAAGTTCAGTAAGAATCTGATAAACCCATGAACTACCTGAAGGAACAACAGTGCTGCAAAATCTGTGTAGGTTAAGTGAGAGGGAAAACTGTTCTGGTGGTCAGTGGTGTGTGATTTAACAGACCTGGAAAAAAGGGTGCTTTGGGCTGCCTCTGTTTTCATGTACCACTTTTAAAATCTGTTGCAGCACATCTCACGTGTTGTACCTTCACTAATACTGAAGGTCTGGGGACAAAATTCTGAGAGAAATACCAATATGTGAACTTCAAGTTAAGAATTTTTCTTTATCATGGTAGCTACATGTGCTGTCCAAAGGTGGTTTATTCTTTAGAGCATGTTAACCATCATGTTTGTGATGAGGGTAGTACGTGAGCTTCCTTGAGGTGCTTCTTGAAATTGGACAAGTGGCAGCTTGAGAAGTGGTCGAATACATTCAATTATTCTGTTTTCATGGGGAAGCAGAGACATGCTCAAAACACTGGAATACTTTGTTTAAAATTATTAAGATTGCTAATTGCAATTGATGTAAGAGAGTATATGTGTTCTCTGTGATGGAAGGTAGGAAGATCTTTTGGTTTACAAAAGTTTCTGCTTTATTTATGAAATTAAGTAGACAAGAAATTGCAGAAAAAACCTCCAGAAAAGGTTCCCAGAGAAGGATGCTCACAGTAGAATAGTGCAATTTGGCTAGTGCAGCTATCTTGGCAAAGCAGGGCAGGAACTTTCCTTGATGCAATGACAATATTTGAAAATTAAAAAGAGAATGCTATCTAGTGGTCCTGGGAGGGAGAAACAGTTACCTAATTCTATAGAGTTTAGAGATGGTCTTGGCTTTCCAATTGCTGCATATATTAAGTAGGCAAGAAATTGCACAAAAACCTCTAGAGAAGGATGCTCACAGTAGAACAGTGCAATTCGGCTAGTGCAGCTATCTTGGCAAAGCATGGCAGGAACTTTCCTTGATGCAATGACAATATTTGAAAATTAAAAAGAGAATACTATTTAGTGGTCCTGGGAGGGAGAAACATTTACCTAATTCTATAGAGTTTAGAGATGGTCTTGGCTTTCCAATTGCTGCATATGCAGCAGCTGCACAAATCTAGCTAAACTAAAGGGAGTTCTCATAAAATGGAAATGTGTTTAGAAAAAAAAAAATCCTGTAGCAAATAGGATATTTTCAAAATTTCCCCATTAGAATGGGGAGAGTATTTCTAAAATTACTGCATCTGGTAATTGTTAAAGGAATCCATTGCTCAGTGTGCCTTTTGGGGGATTTTTCTTGAGGCAGAGATTGACTGCCAGCATCTGTTATCTTACGGTGGTTGATAATTAAAAAATAGTCAGATATCAGTGACCCATGGCAGAAAACATGTAGTCATTTTTTAATCTGATTTTTTTTTTTTTTCCTGCTTGATTTGCATTCTGATCACTAGAAACGTGTCGAATCTTGAGGGTTTCAGCAAATGTGCCAGTTTGGAATCTGTAAATGAGGTGAACTGCCTCATAATGCCCTGCAGTGTTACTGTAACTGCAGAGCCCATTATCTCTGGAAACCAACTTTAGAGACAACCAGATTAGGATAATCTTCTCTTTTATATGAGAAGGCAGTCAGAGTAGAGGTTTTACCACTGCACTGCTGATGTCTGGCAGCACCCGAGCTCTAAATATTCTTGATGGCCAAGGCCATGAGCTTGGGAAGAAGCCTGTGAGGCTGCAGTCATCTGGCCTGATGAGGTTTGCTGTGTCATCTAACCCCAGCTTTCACCCAGAAGATCCAATTGAGTGGTTTCTGTAGAATTTTGATGTTTAGCTGTGCATCTTCCAGAGGTATTTGTAAGCCATTGGTAAAACATAACTCAAAATCTTGCATATTCTAAGAGCAGAGATTCCATATGTTGATGCATTGATGGCTTAGAATGTATTTTAAAAAAACAATTCTAATAAGTTTTCTTGTATGTATGCTAATATCATTCTACTGTGTTGAACTTAATAGTCAAATTGTCTCTTTTTTAGTAGTGTAAGAGAGAATCTTTCAGTCAAGTCAACTAAAGAAACAGAGAAGAAACTTCGCCATCTGCTTGCAGACTTGCCACTTCCACCTGAGCTGCCTGGAGGAGCTGACTTATCCAAAAGTCCTGAAGAAAAGAAACCAGCAGTTCCATCACACAGCAAGAGAAGACCAAAGTATGTTTCTTAGACCTTTTCTTAAAGCCTATCAAGCAAGTAGAAGTGATAATATTTCTTTAAACTATATTCTTTTCAAAATAATTCTGCTTTTTAATGACTTATTAATGAGGCTTGAATCAAACTGTGGGTTTTTGCCAGTTAATGGTAGTAAGCCAGTTGTTGAATAATGTCTTGGAGATATCTAGTGTTGAGGTTTTAATTCAAAGTTAAGGCAATCCTTAGGTGCATCAGCTGTGTACTTGTTGTTTTCTAGAATATGTGGACCACGACATGGTGAGACAAAAGAAAAAGAAATAGACTGGGGAAAGCGCTGTGTGGATAAATTTGATATCATTGGTATTATTGGTGAAGGCACTTATGGGCAAGTTTACAAAGCCAGAGACAAAGACACAGGTAAGTTCAAAAAAGTAAAGGTAATCCTGCAGTTCTAAGGTGAACAGGAAATTTGGGGGTTGTTTTTAGATTGCGTACATTTAGTGGTATTCTGCCCTCTAATGTTTGGAAAGGTTTTAGTCGTTGGTTTGTTTAGTTTTAGATCTAGCATTTGCCTAAATCAGAACTTATCTTTTGCTGCTTTGGAAATTCATTTCTCTGTGAAGTTGTGGCTGAAAGCAAACTCAGTACTCTTAATTTCTAGTTCTTATTTCTCGCGTTTTGTTGCTGTGTACACCATGGAGCTAGTAAAGATGAGAGGGTCAGTACTCTGGGGAAACAAAATGGCACCCTGGAAGGTTGACAAAGAATAGTGAAGTTGGTGAAGGGACATAAGGGTGAAAGAAACAAAACATGAGATGTAGTCTCTTCTTCATACTTCAGTAGTCACCAGCTGATAGTAGGAAGAGAATCTGCTTCTGTGCAACACAGCTCTTAAGTGTTGCATGTTTGATATTTTTCTTGCAGTATAACTGAATTTACAAGAGTGGCAGAATTTTAAAATTTCACATTAAATTATTGCTCAAATGAGCAAGCAGTTACCACTATGATATGTAAGAATGTTGTCACTCCTAAATAGACAATGCATTAAAATCACTTCTTCATATGTGCTGATGTTGCTTGAACTTTTTATGTTCAATTAGTAATTCTTTCTGTGTGTGCTTGAATGCTGGATAATCTTCTACTTCAGCAGCAACTGCATCACATGAAACCCCATACCAGCTTGAGTGCCATCTTTCTGATCTTCGTAAGAAAGAGCAGGGTCATGATAATTCCTCCTTCATTCTTCACCTCTGCTTGTCTCAGTTTGCAAACTTCAGTTGTTAAGCTGAACTGTCACAGATTTTGTATTTTACCTTTACCTGGTGAACCATTGCAAATCTGCAGTAGGAGCTTCATCTTGCTCTCCTGGGATTCTGTTTTGTGTGCTTAACTTTTTAATCCATAACCACATTGCCTCTTTGGCAAGCTTTGGGTTGTTTGCATGTGGCAGTCAGTTCTTAACCTCCAGCAGAAGTTGTTGCTCGCTGTATTGATTTGATCCATACAGTCAGAGCAAAACTTCCATTGGCTTTGGATTCAAACCCCGTGTGAAGAGTGGCATTCTAGCCTTTGAGATACCTCATAACAAGCTGTACCGTGGGCTTTCAGAGCAGGGGGATACTGTGTCACACTGGAATGTGATCATCTGTGTATGTATCATATACACTGGTGTGGGGTAAGTCCTTTCTAGAGCTAACAATCTCTGCTGGCAGTAAGCTTCCCAGATGTAGCAATAAACTTCCAAGAGCGAAATGTTTGAGCTGGAATACAGCCTTTAGATATCCTCCATCATGAGTAGATGATGCAGTTTTTGCAGCATCCAGCTTCATCCAGCCCAGACAGCAGTAGAATAATAAGGAAAAATTCTCCTCCTTGTAAACATGGCAGTGACACTTCTGCTTGTGGAAAGTATACTGGTGAATTTGAGAACTGTTTAGTCATCTGCTTCTTATCTTGACCTGCATAGCATTTCTTGCTGGATATGTGTGTTCTGACCTATGGTGCTGTTGTAATAAGAAATCCAGAGCAGACACAGGCCTTTGTCTCTAAACCTTCTCTTGATAATTACTCTTTCATAGGGGTTTATTGATAGACCTGGTGTGGAATAGCAACACACAGGTGAGTGAGATATGCAGGAGGAATAAGGCAGACCTTGTTCTGGGTAGCTGAAAAATTCTCACTTACAGTTTTACTTCTCCATGTGGTGGTTTCCCAGCAATGGTCAATTCTATTTCCACTCAACATGGTGTTTAACTCATTCAGAAATAGTAACAAATGAGAAGGATTTTAAAAAAAACAAACTACCAAACCCAGTCCTATATCCCTTTGTTTGCTAATCCTAAGGTTTTTTATTTAAATTTTCTCACAGGGGAGATGGTGGCCCTGAAGAAAGTTCGTCTGGATAATGAGAAGGAAGGGTTTCCAATTACAGCCATTCGGGAGATTAAGATCCTCCGACAGCTTAATCACCAAAGCATTATCAACATGAAGGAGATAGTGACAGATAAGGAAGATGCTTTGGACTTCAAGAAGGACAAAGGTATGGATGCTAACACTTTGTGGTCCCCTTAGTATAGTCATCTGCTAAACTAGATTTGAAGTTAAGATTCATTAAAAAAATGTTTGCAAACTGTGGTGCTTGAGGAGGGATTTTAATTTTGATTTCATTACTAATAGATATCCTTTATTTAACTCAGCTATGCTTTTTGCTCATAGAAAAGTTCCTGCAAATATTTTGGAGGATAAAAAAATTTATTACTTGACACTAGTTTTGCTGGAGGGGAACAGATGTTTGACTCCTTGACACTCACAGATTAGGGAGGCTGGCAACAATAGGGAACTCTTAATTGTGAGCCTTTAGCTTTTTATTCTCCTTATAATCTTTTCTTACATAATTTAGAGTATTATAGGGTCATGCTGAAGAGAGATGTTTCATCATAGGCCTTGGTTTTGTTTGAATTGTGCTTCATTTACTTTCCTGTAGTTGGGCATGTGTCTCTCAAAGGCTAGAGGGGGGTGATAAAGGAAAAGAAGAAAAAGCAAGATTTGGGTGGTGGGGGTTTTTTGCCTAAATAGAAGATGTACAGACTTTTACTCTTCTGGTTCCTTCAGTGTCAAGTCTGGCTTGTCTTAGTTACTGCAACTGCCTCAGCCTAGAGAGTCAAGGAAGCAGTGGAAATCATGCAGTGTTGTATCTTGGTACTTTTGATATTGGAGTGGTCATTTTGTCTTTGGAGGCCATTTCTTTTTAGGTCCAAGTCTTACAAACCTGTTGTTTGGGGATATTTTAGTGTCCTGTGGCCTGTTTGATATATGATTTGACTGAGGAGGGTGTCTATAATGTGATATCCGTGCTTCTTTCCTGCTCTCCCTTCCTGAGTTTCCATACAGCATGGCCAGCACCACTGCTGGTAGAAAACTCCAGAAGTACTGCATAGCCAGCAGAAACACCAGCTGATGTGATGAGTCAGAAGATGGCTGTAAAAACTAAGCAGGATTAGTTTGGTGGTTTTTTTCCCTAGTATCTCATTACTGTGTTTAAAAGTAGGAATAATCTAGCAGAAGAGTCTATCTAGATGTGTGCAGGTTCAGTGGTCAACACCCACTCTGTATCCCCACAGTCTGCAACAGGCAGTTTAGGCTTTTCATGTGAATCTTGTACTGAGTTTTAATTAGGTCTAACCTAGTTGGCTAATGAGACCACACTGAGCTTTGACTTAATACTTAATGACTCATTAATTAATTTTCTCCCTTTCTGTTTGATGCTATGTCGGACTGAATTTTAATTTTTTTTTTTTTATTGGTGTACTTCATAGTGTGTGTCTCATTAATTTAAAGTGTTTGGGGTTTTTTTTTTATCCAAGTGTGTATTTGTGCTTTTGATATTGCTTTCCATTTAATTTCTCATTCTTATTTAACAGCTTATTAAAACAATTACAGTTATAGAAAATTTGCAAGGGAAGGGGCTTCTTTGGAGATGCTAGAATAAAATTAATTTCTGATAGTCTCCTGAAAGCATTAGCATGATAATGAGGCTGTGCCATTATGGCCTGTCTGTGAAAAGATGGAAGTTGTAGGTTGTTTTTTTTTTGTTTTCAGGCACTGCATTCTCTGTTTCTCTAATGAGTAGTTCATTGTGAGCTGGGGATTTATAGCTGAGAGTGGCCAAATTGTAGTCTACACAGGGCATGAGTGCAAGTGGGAGGAAGTTTGGTGATTTTCACAGGAAACCACTGCAAACAGAAGAGCAGGCTGATAGCCTGAAGAAGGAACCATTCTGAAAGTGGTGGTGCTCTCACGCAGGCAGAATGGTTTGCCCTCTGATGAACTTGTTTATGCTTAATGTATGTCATATGCTTGTCTTAGCTTTGGAATATAACTCTTACAAAACCCTGCTGATACCTCTGTTTGTGAAAGTAGGGAATGAGGACATTTCTGCCAACATGTTTCTCTAGTTACTATCAGCAAAGATAATTTTCTGTCTAAGGCTGACTGTCATGTCCTAACGTATCACTTGTCTGCTTATTCACTTAAGGTGGTTTTTGGGGCGGTAGGCTTTGTTTTGGCTTTTCATTTATCTCAGCAGCATAAAATGCAGCAAATTTAGTTTTCTGACAATTATGTAAATGTTTGGCAGTTTATACAGTACATGTTATCTAAAAAAAAAATAAATATCCTTAGAACATTGGCTTGCAAGCCATCAGTGGCTTGACTTGCACAACTTTGTCCTGATACTTGGAGCTGTGCTACATGTCTTTCAGTGATGTAATCCTGTGTCTTCCAGACTTCTGAGTATCTGACTTGTGTCAGTATTTTCAACAATGTTTTACTTTTAAAGAAAATAGAAGAAAAAATACATCTGTGTTTTGTCCTGGCCAGCTTGAGGTTTAAGTTCAGGGAGAGGAACAGCTTTAATGGAAAGGGATTTGGTTTATTCTTTCTAGACCAGCAGTTAGTGAACAGAAATGTAACACGTTGGACGAGTGTGTTACAGATGTTGTAAACTTGTTTCTGTCAGCTGAAACAGAGCACATCAGGCAGCACATCTGTTTGTATGGGTCGGGCACCTACACAGCTGGGTGGGTGATACATTGCTCTACCACCCTGAATATTGGAAGTTTTTAACTTCATTAGGCATGAGACGCGCTTGATGATGAAGTTGCAGAGTGACTTTACTGGTTACTAATTGGTAATTTGACATCTCGATTCTGAGGCTTGTTCCTGCCAGGTAGAGCAGGGTTGGTGTGGTGAGGAGGAGTGTCTGGTTTGTATGTTTCTCCTGTGGACATTCCCCTGACTTCATTCAGAGGAGAGGTAGGTGAGCACACAAGCTTGAGGATGGGAACACATGACTCATAGTTTGTGCTCTGTTTTGTGTGCTTATCTGTGCAACAACTGGCGTAAAATGTCTGCTTCCTCTGCTGCTTTCAGGGCAGAAAGCCTGCTTTGTTTTCTCAGTGAGCCTGTCATTTCTATAATGCAGGTGTCTCTTTTTCCTTCAGGCATCTGAGGCGGTCCTTAGTTTCCAGTTGCCTCTTTGTCAGCTAGGAGCTGTTTACCAGTGCCCAGCAGCCTAGCTGTGGGACTGCCACTGTCTCTGCTTACTGAACATGTGGAGACTGCTTGACCTAGCTGTGCTTTCTTTGAATGTAGAACAATAGATGTACTGACTGACATCTCTTCTTCCTCCTCACTGGGAAAGCCTTTTGAACTGCTAAACTGAGGGAGGATGTAAAACTTTGCCTGGGAGACTCAGTAAGGAAGATCTGAATGTTGGTTTTGTTGTGTGTCTTTTGGTTTGGTTTGTTGTTTGGTGGGATTTTTTGTGTGTGTGTGTGCATTATCTGTTTGGATTGTGTGTGTTTCTGTAAGTAATTTTAAGATCTAAATTTACTTTAGATTAAATTTTGAATTGATTTGCTGTATAAATTAAACCTTTTTTGAGTCAGGAAGTTGGCATTTAGCTCAACAGAACTACAGTACATATATCAAAAAGGACATTGACTCCGAGGTATGTTGTATGAGTGGCAGGTTAGTTTCTCACTTGTAAGTCAAGGAGTAGTTTGAAAGCTTGTGGTTTGGATGGAGTCTGTGACAGCAATCATGTGTAATCATCAGAGTTCTAGAGCCTTCCTTCTCTACTTGTAGCTAGCTTTACCTGAGTCTTCTGTGAAGCTGAATAAAACCAAACTGATTGGAATTTTAGAAACTTCTAATGATCTACAGCTTGACTTGCTGTTCCCAAAATAGCTGATAGAAACTTCTTCCCCAAATAGTTTTCATGCTACAGCTCAGTTACCAGGAATAGTGTGACTGCTGGAGTGGTGCTTCCAGCTTGCCTGGGCTGTTGTGGACTCTGGTCTGGAACGAGTCCAGACCTAATCGAGTGGCTTTTCATTTTCATCCATGTTATGACAAAATGAGAAAAATCCTAGATTATTCATCAAGGATTCCTCATATGTTTGGTTTACTTTTCCTTCAATTTAAGTTTTTTCTTTGGTTTCTTATTCCCTGTATGTGGTGAAACAAGGACAGTATTTACCTCCAGAGCTTCTGTATGCCCTTGGCTGGTGTGCCTATTTCAGGAGGAGTTTCCATCTTCTGAAGTGGAGTTTGGGTTGGATTTGTTTCAAGAGGAGAATGCAATTGAGTTTGCAGTGGGTGAATAACACTGTCATCAAATAACATTTTCATCTGATGTCAAGTTTTTAAAAACGAAAAATTCTGGGTTTATTAGGCTAAATTTGTCTTAATAAGTTTTGTGATATCTGAATGGAAAAATGAGTATAGCAGCAATGCTTTCTTTAGTCTTAAGGTGATTAATTCACTGGCTATGCCTTTAGCTGATATTCCACAAATTAGAAAATAGGTTTGTAAAACAAGAGTAGAAAGAAAAGATGAATGTCTAAGGGACTTAAAGGAATTTAAACGTAAGGAACATCAAGGAATTGATGGGCAATTTCTTCTTGAGATTTCAAGCTCTGTTTGATAAAATTAATTTTAAAACTGTCTTGTAATACAGTGTAGCATGAGTACTGGAGTAAAAATCTTAAGGAAATGGAAGAGTAAATAGAATACAATTGTCTTTAATCTATCAAGGGGGAAAAAATAATCTATGTATTGCATAGAAGAAGCCAAGGAGGCTTATTGGAGAAATGAAAATTTTATGAAGTCTCATTTTGAAAAGCAAATACAGTATAAAATGTTGAAAACCTGTTTAACAACTCAGCATTGTACACACCATGCACTGAAAGAGGCAGGGATCCTTTTTTGTAAGCATTTTTGTATTTCAGGCTACTATTGTAATGCATTTATGCAGGGATTGAATTAAGATTTGCACACAATAAGGCACTTCTGGTCTCCCAGTTCCTCTGATCTCTACCTAATCAGGTATTTTGAGGAAACCCAAACACCTTCCCTATGAAGTTACATTTAGAAAATACTTGCTTAAAAGCTGTCATCTATGCAAGCTTTTGGATTATTCTCCCCTGCTGCTCCCTTCCACTGCCCTCAGCCCAAAGCACTTGTTTCTTACTTTGGGAACAAATGTTTAACTTGATGTCCTGCTGCTTTGGATCTGTGTGTTTTGATGACAGTCTGAAAAAAAATACATCCAGACCGTACCTGTGTCACAAAAATGCAAAGTATCATTTATTATTTTTTTTGACTGCTCAAAAAATTCTTTGTTGATTAGAGATATCAGTGCTGTGTTTTGTTGAGTTACCTGATTTGTGTGCATCACTTTACAGCCTTATAGCCCAGCACATTTTGTGTCTTAGCTGATAAAAGTGCTACTGCTAGAGCTGCATGACTTGAAATACAAGAACAGAAGGAGATGTGTTAATCCTTTAAATATTCTAAACCAGTATCTCACTTTCTGACCCTTATCAATCTTAACTGACAAAGTGCTCAAAAAGATGAATTTTTCTAAGTGCAAACAAAAGAACTAAGGGGAGGATTGTTTCCATCTGAGTCTCATTTATTTATTGTGTACCTCCCTAATAGATTCAGCTGCTCTCTCTTATCCCACATTCAGAAGTAGGCAATATTACTCCTGTTCAGCTGTTCCAGCTGCTGCTTCACCAACATGCAGTGACATTAAGGTTTCTTATTATCTCAGTAGATGTAGGAATGGAGATGAGCTGTGTGGTATTAGTAAAGGAAATGGGACACCCAAGAAATAACCCCCCTGTTAATGCTTTCCTGCAGAATGTGGAAATGGACTGTAGGCTGCCTCTCACCCCACGGGTACTTACTAATTGGGAAGTGCAGGTCTTTAACATAACAGCAGTAAGATGAGTAATGTTAAAGTCAAATATGTAATTCTGAGTTCCTTTGAATTGCATGCCCTTAACCCTTTAGGTGTTTTTAGGATGCTGCTTCCAGAAATGTGGATATTAGGCAAAGCTAGCAGAAGGCAAAAGGTCATTTTAAAATGTAACCTCCACGTTATCAAACATCTTGGCCTCATACAGGAAAAAACAATTATTTTTTCTGTTTTCCTTTTTGATAAATGGATATTTGTGTGGCATTTGGTTTGAGCTAAATGATGCTGTAAACTTGAACTTGGACTATGCAGCAATAAGCAGACTTCTTCTGCCTGTGCATAGGTCACTTGTGAAGTCTTCCAGGACTGTTTTCTTCTTCCTGAATATCTGTAGCTGCTTCACTGTTCAGAAGGGTCAGATCCCCTGATATGATGAAATGCAGTATAGATTGGAAATGATCAGGCAGAGTACTGACTGTTTTGTTGACTGAAACTCAGAAAAGGGCACCACATTTGTCCAGAAATAAGCAGAAGTTTCACTTCAGTTTGCTTGGTATCTTTTTTTTTTTACAGCTACAATTGCTTCCAAATATAGTTTGAGTAATACTGAAAATGAGCTTTTAATGGTGAGACTGCCAAGGCTAATGGAGTAGTGGTTTCTCATAACCATTGAAGGAGATTGAGCTTTGACAGTTTTTTTTCTAAAACCAGTTGTAACGCTGTATAGTACGTAGGTAGTAATGCTCAAGTGTAATGCATCTGTGCATTTGCTTTTGCTCTGATATGGAAGGAACATTTAGTGTTTATGTCGTTCGAGTGTATGCTGCTTAATGAGAGCTGCAGAGAACATAAATATTTGGATGGCATCTCCCAGGTACTAGTGTTTTATTTATGAATTGTCTCCATTGTTGTCAGCTTTCCCTCTTTGAGGGTACCAGTGGTGATTGCTGGTTATAAATAGTGTGAAGCATCCCTGGAGCTAGTGACAGAGGAGGAAATGGCTGGAGGCACTGAGCCTGCTTTGCATGTAAACAAGAAGACAGGACTGTTCAGCTGTTCTCACTAAACAGGTCTGAGATCCCAGTGACCCTTCCCAGCCCTTCTCATGCACACACAGAGTGTAACCTGCTGTCGTGACAGAGGTACCTTCCCTTTGTCTACCACAGCAAGTAAACACTAAGATCACTGGGAGTCAATTTTGTTGAGCTGGCATCCTATGAGGGGCATATCTATAGATTATTCTGGCACTGCAGCATTAGTATCAGGTGTTTTGTTTCAAGGCATTTTAAGTTATGTCATGACTCATACTTCAGCAGTTGCTGGTGAAGTAGCGCTAACATCAGGTTGCCAGTTATCTTTGTTTGAAAGGCCAAGATGAGGAGCCTCTGTGCCTTCACCGTACTGAGCTGGGGT